TTCAAATCAAGGATCCTAGTTGAGTCCTTGATTTCGGCTGGTTGATTCATGTCCATATGAGCTAGCCGTTTCCTTCATTCTTTAGAGATCTTCTGGTGATCTTGATTCTCTTTCTTCTCTTGAAGATATTTATGTGATCTTGATACTTTGCTGATTTTCCTTCTTTAGAGATCTTCTTATAATCTTGATTCTCTTCCTTCTCTTGAAGATATCTGTGTGATCTTGATACTTTGCTGATTTTCCTTCTTTGGAGATCTTCTTGTAATCTTCCTTCTCTTAAAGATATTTGTGTGATCTTAATACTCTTCCTTCTTTTGAGGATCTTCTTGTAGTCTTGATACTTGGCTGATTTGAGTGTCTATCTTCTAGAGTACTTCATCCTAGTCAGACGCTAGGATTGTGATTGCTTCAATTTTGTATCCCTTGAATGATGGAGGCATTGCTTCAGTGAGGGCAGCTTGTTTCTTTTCCTTCTTTGGCGTTCTTCCTTTTTGATTCATATGTTTGATTTAATATAAATCTTTTTTGATTGAGTTCCAGCAATGGCAGATCTTCTTTGGAAGGCATGGTTATCTTGCAAGATTTGATTTGATTCCTTGAGTTCAGATTGATCTGAATGAATCAATTTTTGGTTAGATTGATTTGAGTGAATCAATCTTCTCCTTAATTGATTACTGCTGATTTGATTCTTGAAGCATCAATCTGTAGGATTTTGTGTATCTAACACAGATACACTAGTCTTGATTTTCCTGCGACACAATGTAGTTTGTCATTATACAAAACATTATAAGTTAACAGTTTGTTCAACCACTCCAAACATATATTCTCCCTATTCGAGATATAATCGAGTTTAGTAGGCAGAATAGGCCCAATTGCCCATTGTTTCTTGTTCAAACTAATTTCTGCTTGTTCCATCAAATCAATATACTTGCTTTCAATTACTTTACTTGTATTATGGATATCACCTGATCTAATATCCATATATGGATGTTGAGAATCTGATAAGTCCATAGCTTTGTAACATCTGGCAATTTGAAATAACTACGAAGAGGCTTAAAAATTGGAAATTTTCATTTTTTGGAAAGAATTTTAAAGTTCTGGAAATTTGGCTAGTATGGGAAAAAGGTGAGTTTTGACCAACTTTGAGCAGTCATAACTTCTAGCTCAGGATTATTTAGGTGTAGTTCCAGTTATGGTTGCAAAGTTCGTGGAATGATCTTTCCAACGCCACTGAGTTTGCTCGATTCTAAGTTCGTATGAGTGAGTTATGCCCTTTGGAAGTTGGGCAGTTGGCAGGGAAATCCGTCCGGAAATTTTAAGGGCATTTTGGTCTTTTCCCTAACTAATTCCTTTGGTTATATTGTTGTGTTAGACTGATTTTTAGATCAGTTTGTCCCATTTTAAAGAGTGAGAGTTAGGGTTTGAGAGTGAAGAGGAGAAGAAGAGGAGAAAGAGAAGAAGAAGCAAGGTTTCGTCAAAGATCGTCGTGGATATCGTTGGGGGTGATCCCTACTAGGTATGTGAGTCCCTAGTGTTGGGTTGGTTCTTTCCCCCACGCGACAAACTCGTTTTATTTTCAAGAAAAGATTGGTTGTGTTGTTGAAGTTGTTGGTTGTGTTGTTGATGTTGTTGATTTGTGTTGTTGGAGTTCCTTGTTGATTTGGGGCATGATTTGGTTGTGTTTTTGAGTTGAATCTCTTGTATGTGGAGGGATTTTATGATCCTTAGTGTTTGGGGTTGAAACCTTTGAAGTTAGGGTGGTTTAGAGTTGGCATCACAAAGGAGAAAAGTCGAGTTTTCTGGGGAAAGGGCTGGCGCGTCGCGCCTGCCAGCGCACCCCAAAAGGGGTTCTGAA